TGACTATCCACTCTACCAGAAATGAACGTTTTCGACTGACGCCCTTTAGGGCGCTTGAGAGAGTCCTAAAAATTGTTTTAAAATTTTTTCCAAAAAACATTCCTTATTTGTACACCTCATAGCACGTTTTGAGACCTGGGGAGCTTAACTTTTCTCAAATTTCAAAAATAAGGGACACCCTAGGGTGGGGGATGGCTCCCAGTGATAGCGTTTTTGGGAAAAAAATGTAAACTACAAAAACGTCTTTTTTTGACCCAAAATCGACTCCTTCAATATTCGTACTTATTCATGGGACACCATGTATATCGAAGAATCAGACAATTGAGACTTTTTCATGAAACAGTCCATGTGCGAACGTATCTACGAGTATCGTGTACCTTTCTCAATTCCGCCAGCGCAGCGTTCTACTTCTTTTCCGAGAAAAAGCACCAAACAAGTCAGGAAAAGGGGCCATTATAAAATTCTTTACCTGGCACGATTGATGTTATATTTTTCTACAATTTCCTGGGCTACAGGATGCCTTTGAGTTGTGGTGAAATCCAAGAATAAGGAAAAATGGTTTGTATTCGGAGAATCCTCTCTCAGTTTGAAGGTGTTTTAAGCATCGGTCAACGCTGAATTTTCATTCATTTGCGTGTAAAGGAACGGAGTTTTTATGCAAAATGGAACCTGTCCACGAAGAATGTGGGTCGAATGCAAATGAGCTACCACCGCACAATGGCATAGAGAGGCGTTCCTTCACTTAAAATGCAAATTATGATGTTAATTTCGCAATATTTTAAATTTGAAGGGGTACTTCTAAAGGAAAATTTTACGAGGAAATCAAAGGACTTACTTTTGAACTTTTACATTTCGCGCTAACAGAAATATAAGCTTTTAAGTCTCCAAATCGTGTCCGACTTTTCTCATCGACTCGCCCCTTTGTGCGACGTAGAAACTGAAATATAAATTATTCTGCTGGTTAAAGCTGCGTGATTCATTGATTGAGGAGGGTAAAAAATAGCTGTCAGATACTGATATATTTGCATACTGATATATTTCCTGTTTTAAATACACCGATCTCAAATTGAAAATTTGCTGTCAGTCTAGCAAAGAAAACGTAATTCTTTTCGACGTATTTTTTTTCTTTTCTTTTTTTCCACGGATGGTAATTCAAATCAGAGATTCATAGTTATTCAACTTGTTTGCATCTCTGTATTTAAGTGTGCAACAGAAAAAAGGTATCTCCGCAACCTTTGTGCTTTTTCTTTAAATGGTCGCTCCTCTGACGTAAGGGCGTAACCTCGATTTCCACGAGGGCCTTGTTATACATATGAGTCCATGCTTTCTGAGGCTCATTCTGAAATCGAGATACGCCCTCACGTCAGAGGGACGACGACGGCGTGTACAGGGTTCTTTGGATTTATGAAACTTCTTGGGGAACACTGGAACATGAATTTGACGGGAGTCCTTCGAAATAAAGACTTCCTTTCATACTTCAGTGTCTCCTTTGAAAACTACTTAACGTAATTTTTTGAAAACGTCCTTGGTTTTTCTTCTCCATTAACAGAACATTCGAAGAAAATTTCAAGCTGTAAAGTTGGCTCGTTTCTTGTCGAAAAAATAAAAGGAGGAACGGACATTTTGAAACACCACAATGGAAATATACGCATTTTCGCAATTTAGCCTTTTATTTATCGATATGCTTTTTATGATGAAGACCTTGAAAAAAAGGGGGAACCTATGTCTTCCCGAGAAGGCCACCATCTTGAAAAGGATAAGTTTTTTTTTTTTTTTTAAAAAAAAAAAAAAAAAAAAACTGGTGTCAAATCCGTGCTCAGAATAAAAAAAAGTCTTGGTCAGAAAATTTGAAGCAAATTCACAAGTTCTTGTTTGAATACTTGATGAATAATCTATCCCCTACACCTATAATCACATTCCAGATGACCCCCCCCCCCCCCCCCCTCCCCAGAAAAAATCCATTTTACTTGAAATGCGGAGAAATCATGGCCAAAAATTCCAAATATTTTCATGAAATTCAAAAAAATTTCCAATGAGTATCAGAGCAACACTAAATCATACATCTCTTACTTACAGCGCGGACACCATTTTTAGTGTTTTTTTCTTAAACCCTAAAAAAAGCTGGATGTATGCAAATACAAAAATCGCAGTCAATTAGTAAAATTAAACGAGTACTTTTCGCGTTTACACGCACTTCTGGATTCAATTCATGTTTTACTATAGAATTTCTTTGGGTGTAAAACAACTGACATGCGCTTCTAAGTGTAGAGTTTCTGGTTTATTTCCCAAAAAATTTATGTGAAAGCAGTATTTTAACAAAATGCTTCTCATGTCTCGCTGTTATCTTATACACGCACTACGTTCACTTTCAAGGCAACTGGTCTTATATGTGTTAAAATTAACCATGGAGATGCCGGGGATTGAACCCGGGGCCTCTCACATGCGAAGCGAGCGCTCTACCACTGAGCTACATCCCCAAGTGAAGAAGAGTGCAACCTAACCAGTAATATCAAAGACCATTATCTTGGTCTTAACTGGCTGTAAACGTTTTCCTCCAAAAACTGCCAAGCTTAATTTTTTATAAAAAAAAGTACAATTCTGCTTTATCCCGGAAAATTAGTTTTGTCACGTGAATGACTTACTCATTTATTTGTTTTTCCTTTTAATTTTACGCTAAAAAATTAGTGTAAATCTTGTTCGTTCCAATAAGCGTCCTGCGTCTAGGTTTAAGAATGTTCATGGAGCACCATGAAAGGACCAATTTTATATAATTGGCTACAGAGCTTCTCTAAAAACTGAATTACATGTGCCAGAAAAATTAAAAAAGTTTGTCTGGATTCAGTTTTTTAGTTTTCTGCATTTGTTTTCTTCCCCCGGTAGTGGGTACTTTTTCAAGCAAAGGATTCAAATCAACCCGAATTCTGAAATAGATTCTAATGAGGCTTATGATATGCTATATTAGAAAATGTTGAACGTTAAAACGTAAGGTCTTAACATGGACCGATTCAATCTTACGGTCGATAGTGCTTCTGTATGTCATACACCTTCATGTCAATGGAGTGACAAAATAACTTGAGATACCGTAGTAACACGAAAAATAAGCGCGTGGAATTTACGAATATAGTCGAGCCTGAGGCATAATGTTGTAATTTTACGACTTGATGACTCGATTCTCTCGTGAGTGAAATAATTTTTTACTCGCATTATTTTTTGCCGCTGTATTTTCTCACAAGAAATAACAAAACCACCCTACCATTTTGGGAACACTTCTTTATACTTTGCACTAAAAGGACCATAAGATTACTTTCTACATTGCCTCCTACGTAAAAATTCTAGCTGTTCCGTCTTTTATTTTTTATCATAACCCAGACTTTGAAGCTTACCGAACACATTGCTCATGTAGATGAGGGTAAATCTTAAGACTTTTTGGAACCCTGCAGAAAACTTTGGACTGGAAAGTTCCTTTGTGTATCGGGAGATTATTGGCACATCAAGTATTTTAGTTCAGAGGGACTAGACTACTTTTTTATTTTGTTTGCAAGCTTTCAGACCTTTATGGAGCTCTTTCACCGCAATGAAAACAAACAATAAGAAAACGTAGTTTCAGACGTGATCATGGTTCTATTTATTTAAGTTTCAACCTTTAAAGACCTTTCATGACAAAATTGACGGATAAGTCAAGAAAAGGAAATTAATAATTGAATGATTAATAAAAAAAATTTGCCATTTTAAGACAGAAGTAACGAATGATAAAAATCAGATTACCACAAATGGTATGCATTGAATGAATAGAATCACACTTTTTATACCGCTGCATTTCTCAAATTCATATTCTTATGAAAGAATATGAATAATTATAAGATGACAAAAAAAAGCTTGTCAACAACTTGCAGTTAGAAATATTTCTCGTGAAATATATGGGTAAAAAAATTCTTCAAATAAATTTAAGAGCTTATTTCAATCGTACCCTTGACAAGTTACTTAGATTTGAATCTTTGCTAATTTTTCAATAGAAAATTCTTTATTCCATGTCAAGGAGGGGAGCTTCAGTTTAAATGTTCGTATTAATTTTAGTAGGTGTGGCGGAAACCCAGAACAAAATTACTAGTATTCAATTTCCACCGGTGTCTTTACCGAAAATTCAAATTTTTAACTTGAACTGAGAAGGGGGAATCCCCGATTAATTAGACGCATGACCATCTTAACTTACCCTATTATTACCAATGTTTTAACAAAAAAATCACTATTATTTAATTAAGCTTAAAATTGGGTTCTTAAGTTGAAAAATTCACAAATAATATTCTTAGAACATTTTTATTCAAAATAAACAACATATTTTGATTAGTATTTAGAGAATGCCCTCAGAGCTCCGAGCGCGAACACGACGCGAAAACCAGCAACAATCAGAATGAAACAATGACGGTTAGATCGAGGCTTGATGGAACGTATGACTAAAATGTCCGTTTGAAGCTATTCGAATTCGGATTGATCGCGGTCCTGGAAGAAAATTTTAAGTATCTGACCATAAATCAACTCATTCAACGAGCCCTGCGTCCATTCAATTAATTTCTAGTTTTTCTCCTCTTTCTCTCCTTTTTTTCTCCCTGGTTTTGTCTTTTCACCCACTTCAAAGAGATCCGTCCAGTAAAGCGAACGAGTGACCAGGCTTGCCGAATGAGGCACGCGCAATTTTTTTTTCGCAATAGTCAGAGGCGTGAGATCGTGGGTTGTTGGCAAGCCTGCGGACCCCACCCAGTCGTGAAAAGCTGAAAGCGTACCTTTATTCTGGTTTCCTATGTTTACGTTTCTTCGGGAGATTTTAACCACCGACCCCCCGCCCCCCCTTCCCCGTGGTGAATGGATTTTCGCCAATTTTCGCAGCTCGCTCCCCCGCGAGCCCCCGACGAGCCCCCCTTTCATTCTCCTTCAGCCGTTCTCGGCCCTTTTCTTTTTGCCCCCTCTCGTGCTCTTGCATTTTTGTCTCCCTTTTCCCATTTTTCTTTCAGTTTTCAAATGAAGGGAGGCTTGGGGAATAAAACATATAAATACTGAACCCAAACGCCAGTAAAGACAAGTCAGTTGAACCAGTCGCTTCATCATGATTGCTTCAGTTGTAAGTCCGCTTTTATTTTCTCTGCTTTGATTACTTGCCCAATTTGACAATTTTCATTCTTCGTTTTTCGGCCCCTTTTGCTCGTTTTTTAAAGTAAATTTTCAAAATTTATTTTACTTCGTTGCAAAAAGGCATTAATTAAAAAGTTGTCCGAAATATATTTTTTAAAACTCAAAAACACGCATACGTAACGAGGACTAAGCACTAAAATTTAGACTTTCGATATACTACTGTTTGTCATTTTTACAAAAAAAAAAAAAAATTATTCAAAAGCTTTCTTTTCTTTTATTTTTTTATTAATTTAACGAAATATTCCTCACATATATAAAGGTATAGTTGAATTTTGAGCTAAGTAGAGGGTTCTGAGTGCAAATTCTTATTTTCTGGGTAGTTTGAATTTCTCTCTGCGTAAAGAACTAAAGGAAAGATAAATAATGAAGTGCCTATCATTGCATCAATTTTAGGTTACTAAATGCTTTTTATTTTTTATTCTTCTTCTTCAATACTTGCCTCAATACGGGCATAACCGCCTGGAAAACGTTCATATTTTTTACCTTTCAAATGTTGAAAGAATCTAAGCAAACTTCAGGCATAGAAAGTACTCAGTTTTATATGTTTTAAAATATCTATAATGCAGTATGCAATTAAGTCACCCATTCAAATTAATCTACACTCATTGAGTTTCATTTTTATTTTTATAATTCTGAATTTTAAGATTTTCTTTAAATTTAAAAAAACCAATTTTAAAATATCACAAGTACTAAAAAAAAAAAGATTTTAAAAGCAAATTTTTACTATCGTTCGTAGTCATAGGACGCTTAGATTGGAAAACGGTAAAATCCATTTGGTTTACTCCAATACTTAAAAATAAGTGAATAAATGAATGCACCTAAATAAATGCTTGTAATCTGAATTGAATGAAATAGTCCAATCGGTAAAATAATTCTTTATTGACTCGGCATTTTTTTCACTTTTTTTCTTTGCTCCAATAGTAATTCTTGCAAGTTGGCACGGCTTATTTCCGATTTTTTAAAATCCATTTGCTATTGATCTTAAATGCTTACATCTATGCCGCCTTCCAAATTTTAAACGCCGTATCTCCATTCAACACTTTTCCAATTTTTTTCTGACAGAATACTGTTTTACCAAAAACCCAACAAATATTCATGCTTCATTTTATCAACACAACTCCGATACACCGCTAGGAACTAAAAATGAAAAAATGAAGTCTTATGGCAATCGAATTTTCTTGTAACTGAGCAGTTCGTGCTGGAAAAAAAGGGTAAAATGTTGAGTGGAATTACGGCGTTTTTGCTGTGGACGGCGGTATTAAACAGTGGCGTGGCGTGAATTGCGATGAATCGATTGTTGCCGTTTAAACCTATGGTAAAGAATCGATTATCAGCGAACACCCTGTTCATCGATCCTTTTCCATAGGTTCAAACGGCATAACAATCGGTGTATCGCAAAGCACGCCACGCCATAGGTATCAAGGGGCGGATTTCATTATTTGGTAGGCGTGTACATTGTTTTTTCAATTGAAGCAAGTCCAAGAGGACAAAAAATGATAGAGACGATCCCATAAACATTGCACGCTCCCTAATTTGAAGCTCTTTAATTCGAAAAGATCTATAACTCGAAGGCGAGGCTGGTCCCCTTAAAAAAAGCCCTTTAATTCGAAATTTTCAATGTATTTTGTCTCCTCGATAATTCGAAATTTTTCCCCAGAAAAATTTCCTTCCGAAGTTTTATAGGCCGTTAAAGATGACCCAAAAAAAAAATGAAATCGCAAAAGTGTTCTCAGATTTCGAATCGTAGAGCTTTTGTTACCACCACTTCGAATTATAGAGCTAATGTACACATCTCTCTAATTCGAAATGTTTTGCCTTTAATTCGAAATTTTTTGCCACCGCTCTTTGTAATTCAAAATCTCGCGAATTCAAAAACCCTTTAATTCGACAAGAAGCCTCGGTCCCTTGAATTTCGAATTAGCGAGCATGCACTGTAGATTCTATTAACTACACTGGAAAAAACCACATTGGATCTAGAGTCCAGACTCTTAAAAACATCGACAAGAAAAAGTACTCTTGATTCAATCAGAATCTAGCTTGAATCAAGAACCAAGCCTCTTAATTTAAGCGGATTTCGTTTCGATTCAAGCAAAAATCCGATTGAATCGAGGTATTTTTTCTTGTCAATGTTTTCAAGAGTCTGGACTCTAGATCCAAAGTGTTTTTTTTTTTTTTTTTTTTTTTTTTTTTTTTCCAGTGTAATGAAAATAGAGTATGCCATATCGTCGACCCGCTGACGTAAGGGCGTATCTCATATTCTCTGTGAGCCCTGTTCTCCGTATGACTGTATGCGTATTAGGGCTCATTTGGAAACAGAGATACGCCCTTACGTCATAGGAACGACGATATGTGAGTGGTTGATTTGGCAGCATACATTTTGGATTTCTCTGTTTACCTTATTATTTCGATTTGCAGGTTGTTCTCTCCGCCTTCGTGGCCGTCGCCTCCTCCCAGTACTACCAGTACGCCTACCACCCGGCGGCGGCATGGTCCTCCATCCCCGCTCACTCTCCCATCACAGGACAACCTTTGGACACTCCCGAGGTAAAAATACTGGATTTTATGTGAAAGAACTGATATCGATCGAGTATCCCCCGTTTCAGCGAATCATCGGTTGTTACACTGCAATTGGACTACATTTTGCAATTTGGAACTATAAATTCTATCCCGTTTTAAAAACGACGTATGTGCCATTGGTTCCCTTATGCACATAAGTGTTTTTCCAGAAGAGCCAGAATTTATAGTTCCAAATTGCAACATGCAGTCCAATTAGTCTTCAGTGTAAAAATAGTATGGAAAATCAAACACTTTGAATCATAGTTCCTTTTCGCCTCATCTTAAGAAGCATTATCCCTCCTTTCAGATGGTATTCTGTTCTTTAAAGTCAGGATTGCGTTTTCCAGATATTCTCTAAATTGAGGAGAGCTCTTTCGTTTTTCATTTTTTTCTTCGCAGTTCAAAAAGTAGGGGACTTAATTTTGAGGAATTGAATTCAAAGAATGGAAAGAAGTCTCATCAGTATTGTTCTATTAACTTACTAATCACCTCAGGTTCTACCGTTGGAGCTGGAGTCAAGTTTTTATCATGATTCGATTTTTCTTTCCACGAAAATTAACGGCTAGCGGCTCAAAAATTACCGGAGATCAGCCCCCTTCTTATAAATTTTGTATGATCATCGTGCAAGTGTAAAAGAAGCAGAGAAACTCTGAGGGGCCGTCAGTGGCGTGGCGTGAACTACGATTTATCGATCATTATGCCATTTAAACCTATAGAAAAGGATCGATAAATAGGGTGTTCGCAGCGAATACCTTAATAATCGATTCTTTACCATAGGTATAAATAGCATAACAATCGATATATCGCAATTCACGCCACGCCACTGGGGGGCCGTCACTTTTTAAAATCCCCCGGTGGATATTCTCGACGTAGCAGCCAAGTTTGAAGTTCTAACACGTTTTTGCCGATAATTTTTTTTTAACATTTCAAGAGCAACTCCCCCCCCCCTTCTTTTTAATTTCCTCGAGAATATAAGTATGTAGCCTCACGACTTATTTCCGATATTTTAAATTTACCCTTTTACTTTCTGCAAAACCAAAACTCCTACAGCTCCGCAACAACTTGAACTAAATTCGTTTTCTTTTGCTCAACTACAGGTGGCCGTCGCTAAGGCCAGACACGCCGTCCAATGGCACGCTGAAGCATCACGCACCGCCCCTGTCGCCGTTGCTCCCCCCGTTGTTGCCCCTGTCGCCGTTGCTCCCCCCGTTGTTGCCCCCGCCGCCGTCTACCTGAGGAAACGCCGTGAAGCCCCCGCCAACGAGGCCCCAGAGGCTCAGACCACAGAAACCAACAACAAGGACAAGAGACAAATTCTGACATACTCTCCATTAGCCTACTCCCCCTACTCCGCTTACCCCTACGCCGCCTTCTCTTACGCAGCCTACCCTTACGCCAGCTCCCCCTACCTGTTCAGGAAACGCAGGGACGTAAGCACCGAAACCGAAGAGACCAAGGCCCCAGAATCAAAGAACCAGAAGAGACAGATCCTCACATCCACCTGGGGATACCCATCAGCTTACGCCCCAGTAGCCTACTCCGCCTACTCCACCTACCCCTCTGCTCTCTCTTACTCCGCCTACCCCTACGCCTCCCCCATCGCCTCTCCCTTCCTGTTCAGGAAACGCAGGGATGTCAGCGGCACTGAAGAAGACCACTCTGAGGCTGAATCTGACGATGACAGAAAGAAGCGTCAGTTGCTTCTGACTGGAGCCTACCCCTACGCCGCCTACCCCTACAGCGCCTGGCCCTACAGAGCCTACTCTGCCGCCCCTATTGCCTACTACGGTTAGTTCTCTCACCTCACCGAAACTCGTTCCTGCCCGAAACCGTATTTTAAGACTTAGCTCAAACTTAGCAGAATTCAATTCCCCGTAATAAGACTTGCCCGCACCTAATTGAGTTTGTTCCTTTTTTTCCACATTGTTCTCAATGTTCTCACTCGCCATTATTGTTACAGTTTTTACTAATAGTAGCTGAAATATACAAGATAATTGCAGCCCGAATTTTGATGTGTTTGTGTTATTTTCACTCCGATTCAATTCAAGTCTCATAGGTTTTCGCCTGACTCACTTGCGCCTCTTGGTTAAACATTAGTCACGCACTTTCTGAATGAAATTTTGCTTAAAATAGCCAAAATATCAAAACATTTTTTTACCTTTCTATCAATATAGTGCTCATACAAATATATACACAGTAATAAGTACAACACAAATATGTATACAATATATATGTGTAGATTTGGGGAGAATTTAAATGGGAAGAGATTCGGAATATTTAACAGTTTCTGCTTTAGCTCAAAGATTGACTAGGCAAATATGCACTCTTTTTCCTCTAACTATACAATAGGTGTAGAAAAATGAGTCATATTTTTAAGTAGAACTGTGTTTAGAAGCACTTAAATCATAAAGACTTAATTTTACATCTTAAAAAAAAAAAAAAAATGCTCTATCTAGAAAATTACGTTCAATTATAATTCATTTCCCGTTTTTCCTCTTTTCCTTCCTTTTTTACGACGTGCAAAATATTGATTTTAAAGGGCCCCTTTTCATAAATATTGCGCTGAAAATTGAGCACTTGTGCCACACGAAAATAAACGAAGCTTCCCGCTCAAGAAATTTTATTCATATTCATGCAAATGTTTCCCCTCACAAGCTTAGGATAGTAACAATTATTAATCATTCTATTTAAAAAAATAAAAAAGAAAAATTGCATGCAAGTATAATTTCACAACTAGGAATTCATGATATTTAATCTTTGCAAGAAGAGCTAATACCTTTCCAACAAAGTATGTGAACATTGCCACAGAAACTTGATTTATTCTCTGAAAGTGAACCTCCACTAATATCATTTTGTCTCACGACTTTATAAAAAAAAGTCACAAATATTTTCAAAGAACATATTATCATTTTATTCTCAAAGAAATAAAACTCTTGCGAAAATTCTGAAATGATTTTTCAAAGTTACACTTTTTTACCTTTTGGCTTTTATTAAAAAGAAATTGGGATGAGTTTATTGTTTACGTTCTCGTCAGGATAATTTATATTGTTTTAAATGTTCTTGAGAATTTCATTTTCACGTAGTAATTTTTTTAAAGTCAATATTGATTATAAGAACAGATTTTCTTTCCTGTTATCAATTCTTAAGTCGATCGTTTATTCAATTGATTGTGATAAAAGGGAAGAAAATGAAGCCAGGAAGTGAAAGACGAGCCCTGAATCATGCACTACGCAGATCGATGAACGGAAAAACTACTTTCCTAAACGTGCGTTAAAGTCTCCTGCAAAATGAAAATGAGTATACACACTACTGTGTTATGTTTTTTTTCCTCCTTTATCGGGTTGTATCAGCATAGTACTCACTTTTTTCCTTTTTTACATCGGGCGACAAAGGAAAAGTGTGAGTACTATGCTTCAGTGTGCCTTTGATCATGAAAATGCATGGGCGTTTGGCTATATTTTAAATACTTCATAATTTTTTGAAGGGGTGTCAGATGCACTTTTCTCTCACTTGCAATGCAATAGTTGATGTTTACCTTCAGTCGCTGGTGAGAAAATTCTAGAAACACCTTGGTTAGAGTAAAATGGCATAGGTAACCGAATTGAATATAATCGAGTGTGTAAGCAAATGAACCGGCGCACGGTGGATCGAGTCAATAGGAGAGATCGGACAAAATTTAGGAACTTTAAACGCTGATTACTCCGTCTATACACAACTTTGAGGTTCTAAAAATGGCTCCATTGGTTTTCTCGTCAAATTTTTCTCTAACAGCACCCCTTGATATTCAAAATGTGACAAAATAAACATTAAAATTTGCAGTTTTAGTCAAAAATTTCATGTCCGACCTGTCCCATTAACTCGATCCACTGTGCGGCAATTGGGTCTTTTTTCTTTTCTTAAGAAAAAGAACCCCCCTCCTCAGCTCCTACCCGGCTTGAATCTCAGTAGCCGCTTTGCGTCCAATGAGATCCGCTCATGCACCACCTGCTCCATGACACTACAACATTTGCGTTAAAATTAGAGATACGCTCTTACTTCAACGTAGCAATGCAGTCTACCAAAGTTTTTAAAAAAAATAAATAAAAATAAAGTTTTTCACCTAATATTTTTTAAACAGGTCTGAATCCATCGTCATGAAAATTCACAGGTAACAGTAATTTTAAAGTGATTTTTGACGTTTGCCATTTTTTGTTTCAAAGCGACGCGCGATACATCGCATCAATTTGTTCCATAATTTCAGCTACTTTTCATTTTTTTTAATTTTGAGATTGCACCTCTGTTGTCATGAGACTAAAGAATTCGAAAAAAATGAAAATTAGGTAGCTGAAATTATGAGACAAATTGATGCGATGTATCGCACGTCACTCTGACACAGAAAATGGCAACCGTCGAATCACCTTAAGGACAAAACCCGCATTTGAAGTTAAAAATCATATCGGCTACAAGATACAATGGTATACTCGTATGATATTCATCTTGGTTTTTGAAGGTGAATAGGAAGGGCTTTCAACTTACAATTGGATACACTTTATTTATTCGCTGAAAAATTTACAGTTTTGATCAGAAATAAAGAAAGTGAGCGAAAAAATACTTCTGGAGGAGTATATGCAGTTTTCAGTGAGATCAAATGCCTCTAAGATATATAACGTGGAAGCTCATCAATTATTGCGCGCTTCAAAAATGGGGCATTGCGCTGCATAATTTAGGCTGGTGAAAAGTAAGGGGAAGTGTCAACTGGTGCATAATTTCTTGTCATTTTTTGTCCCACAATGATCTCGGTACGCAACAAGACAAATGAGTTGTCAAAGAGATTGTCCGATAAGTGTTTTTAGGGTGAGTGTTGATGTTACTGTGATGTAAAATAAATCGAGTAAAATTATAGAAGACGCCGCAGCTTTTTGTGATGCAATTTCTCATGTATTTTAATATCAAAACAAATTTATATACAAAGAAAACGAGATTATAACGGTAAGCAGCAGTAACAAAATGAAATAATAGTTTTGAGAGATATAAATTATGTATCTAACCTTCTCGGAAATTAAAGGAGAACAAACTTAAAGCTGTAAGAAGTGGTCGTGGTTCCAGTGCTATAGTGCAATTAAGGTACAAAAAGCTGCGCGAACTTTCGAATGTTGCCACATTTCCTCAAAAAAGTTAAGAAAAGTTAGACTATCACGATTTTTTCTTAAACATGTAGGATAATGTAGATTGGTTTTTGCGTAGCTCTTTGAATTTTTGTTTTTTTTTCCAAAGAGCTTAAAACGTTTTTCCTGGAACGCGTATTTTATTAGAATTATTTTGGCAACATCCGACTGTTAACACGGCGCTCTTCTTTACCATAATGGACAAGGAAAAAAGTAGTGAGGGTAAAGTCCCACTTGGATATTTCCAAGTAATTGTGGTAGTAACCCAATTTCTCCTGAGAGTACCCCAGTAAACTAGGTTACTAACCCGAAAGTTCCTGTGCTACCAAAATCAATAGGAAAAGTCTATATCATCCAACATATTTGGGGTATTAAGGGCATAACCCCTCACACATTTTTCCCTGGAGAATCGGTCGCTCGAGTGATCAAAATTATCCATAGTAGGCGCTGTATCCAAGTCCAGAGCGAGCGAAGAAGGGCGAGGAGTATCCATAGTAACCGTATGGGCTGCCGGAGTAAAGGAGCTGACGTTTTTCCTTATTGGTCTCCATGTCACCTTGGTCAGCGTCGCGACGGATCCTGTAGACGACAGGGGACGTCAAGGCGGTGTAGCCGTAGTAGTAAGGATTCCCGGAGTACATGACCTGGCGCCTGTCTCTCGTAAATTCCGCATCATCTTGGTCAGCATCGCGGCGGATCCTGTAGATAAGGGGTGACGTCATGCCGGTGTATCCGTAGGGCTGGACGGTCATTATGCCCATGAGCTGGCGTTTCCTCTTGGAGCATTGACAACCCTCCCCCTCCCCCTCGCAAGCGCAGGGACTTGTTTCGATCTGGTGGTGGAGCGGCTTCGTGGAGGGGTCCATCTCGGGGGTGTCCACGTTCGATACGTCGCGTCGCGACGTACCCGGTAAGCGTATCCGGCGTTACGCAAGATGACGCTGGCGTGCGCCGCAGCGTGCATGGATTTAGCATGCGCCACCTGCAAAATTCATGGGTCATGGTCAGTGGGTGTGTTGGTCACAGGATCGTATATTGATGGTTAACTTATACAGGGTGATCCAGGGTTAAACGGCCAGCGGGTTGATTCTTGTAATTCATAGACAAAGAAGAGAGTATGGAGCGATCCCATTGGTTGAAACTGGTGGTTCTTACAGACTTATATTCATGTAAAAACAATTAATACTCAATAGTTGTGTTAATAAATAAACGATTTAAAAAAAAACTAAGGGGGAAAATTATGGACTAACTAAAGGGCCGCTTGTCGGTTGTCCGTAGTTAGTCGATTACGTACCCCCTTTGTCTATTTCAACCACTTGTTTCCGCCATTAGGATCCCTCCAAATAGCTTTTGTCTTCTTCGTTTGTAGCTTTGTCTATCAATTTCAATAATCAGCCCGCAGACTGGAGGATCCGAGATACCTCCAATCCCCCTTTTTAAATTGAGATTTCGATTTTTTTTTTCTTCTTCTTTTTTTTTAGATCATTCATAGTACAGGGGATTACAAATCTTCATCAGATTTGGTTCTTAACCGTTGCCAAAATTCAGGGAAAAACTATTTACTTTCCGAAATTTTGGAAAGCGTAGCTCCGGACACACACGGACACGTTCATTCCTGACACGTTCTCTCCGTGGCGCGAGGGCGCTGATGGGCGTTGAGGGGACGATTGTGCACGATATCATGACCAAGCAATTGGTATGGTATGGGCATGTGCAGAGAATGGCTGATACCAGGTTGCCGAAGAAGGTGTTGGAGTGGGTCCCCCCAGGTAGGCGACGGAGAGGGCGTCCAGCCAAACGGTGGGTAGAGGGCATCCATGAAGAGATGGAGAGATGCCACCTTCCGGAGGATCTCTACCATGACAGATTCCTGTGGAGAATAGGCGTCGCAGAGCGCCCTAGCGCGCCGTAAAAGCGGCTCATACATACATACAGCTCCGACCGGGGGCATTTACTTTATACAACACAACTTTATACAACGAAAAAGTCTTATTTTGACCCATAGAACACGCTCCTGCAGCCTGGCCATTTAACCCTAGATCACCTTGTATAAACACTGAGAAAAAGTTATCAAAATGGAATGTAAAGTATGAACGGATAATATATGGAATAGTATAGTACATATACATATGTACGACGTATGGAAACGTAGAAGATATGTAATAAATATATGGAAAGTAGAACATGAAGTAAACTACACTTTCGGTTTGTTTCTTTTGATTAAAGTAAAAAAATACTTCGTTTGAGAAACTCTCATCCTGTAAAAAATAGGCACGAATGGCTATGTGAGCTATACTCAAACCGAAAATGATCGACGTATATCTTGTCAAAGATATGAAAGAAACGAAAACAAGTCACAGAATGTCTCTTGTTGTCCAAAAGGAGTCGCGCCCTTGAGTCTGCTTTGATAATTCTTGTAAAATCATAAACTTTTGTTCGAAATGCTAATTAATTATTTACCTCAGGAGTGTCGCCTCCAAAAGCAAAAGGAAAAGCATATTGACCGGCGGCCAAGGCCACCAAGGCTGGGAAGATAACCTGCGGAGAAAATGATACCCGGTTAGAGAGAATAAATATAATATGGACTCACTTTCCAAAAGCTTTAAAATGAATTAAAACACATTTAATTTTAAGAAGGCTCTTCTAAGATTAAGTCTGGGTCTTGCAGGATATCCTCTTTTAATTCAATATTTTGAAGTTTATCGGTCATACTACACCTCAATAAGCATGACATACACTTTCCTTCAGAAATAAAATGCACTCAATCAATACCTACATGTATTTGATGACTTATTTTCTTCTTTTTTTTCCTTTTTTTTCAAATAACGCACTGAAAACCCGTCCTTTCAAACATTTGCATTTAAAATTTTTAGTGCACATATTTATGCTAAAAGAAATTATGTTGCACGCAAACAAAACCTTCCAAAATCAATTCGTGCAACATAATTTCTTTTAGCATAAATAGATTGAATGTTCCTGTTGCTATTTGTTTTATTGACTTGACGAATTTTCACAGATAATTATTATATTTTTAATATTTTGTGCTCGGCACTCGAAGACTTGACAAACAGGGTCATGCCCTAGTCGTTAGTAGAAGAAGAAGAAGAAGAATCAATTCGTCCAATTATTTTGTGACTGACCAAAAGCAAATGTACCTTAACTCACAAAAACTCAACACTGAGTTAAGGAAAGGAAAGAGAAGAGAAAGGAAAGTGCTTTACAATCATTTACGACTAAGAACCTAAATTTTAACGATTTTTTTTTTCGACTGAACCAAAGTTACGACTGTTTAAAATTCCCGGTTCAAGAAACAAAGCTTCAAAAAAAAGTTATTGGAAATCTAACCTGCTTCATACAGAACACAAATTGCTGGTTCGAAATACAACCTTAAACCCTTTTTTGGCCAGAAAATTAATTATAGCATTTCCTAAGAATTCTCAAGAAATTAATCATTGGCGGCCGTTTTTGGATCCACCCTTATTGAACTTTCTCGACTCTACGATTTTTTACTCATTCAAGGTCTATATTTTAAGGATTGCATCAGGTTTGTGTCATTTCTGGTCTGTTTATACGTCTGATACTGGCCTGAACATGAGTCTGACGACCGATTTTGGCAAAAACTGCGAATTTTTCGTCATTCGACTGCAAACCCACGAAACTCACGTTTTTCACCAACATCGGCCTTCAGTCCCTTCAGACCCATGTTTAGGCCAGGTGCAGACCCGAAAAGAGACCAAAGTAAAATCATGACGCATTCCGTAAAATTTAGACCTCCAGCATACGCAAAAAATTAAAAGTAGAGTTGAGGAAATTCAGGGTGGAACCAAAAACACGGCTCTTATGGATACCCCTCTTTTGCTTCCTCTAAATTTTCCGTCCAGAAGTGCTACTAAAAGTGAATCAATTTCAAAGATGTTTATTTTTCGAAACACTAAAGAAATTTTTTTGGTATTATCAAAATTTAATATTTTAACCCGATACTATCAAATATAGCTCCACTGAAAGCAAAATTTCCATGGACGATGACATTTAGTTTGTCATTGATTCTCACAGGTAGACAACATTTTATACTATCACTTTATCAGTCTTTTAGGTAATCAATGTTATTTATCTATCTCTCTTTTACAGACAGTCTGCTCATGATTCAAAGCAACCAAACTGTGCATATTAATTAAAAATTATGGTTTCAAATACTTGTGGTAGATAGTCTCAGCGCTGACGAAACCTCAAAATTTGATAAATGATTACAACTAAAATACTGGAAATAATTTTACGGAATGAGAGAGCAGTTACAGATATTGGAATAAGATTGAAAAATTTTGGAACGAAATCCAATCAGTAAAATTATTCTCATTAATATTATTAAAAATGTTCCAAAATATTTTATCACCGTGCACTTTGACATGTTTCCAAAAGGCTATTTCGTAAGCCTTACATTTACTTGATAAATAAAATATTGAAAAGGTATTTTTTTATTATAATACAGTTAGACGATTAGAAAAATAAAGAAATATATTTTGCAAGAGGATTGACTTACAGATCGATCAAAAATTGGAACTAACACTTACCAAAGAAGCGTACATTTTCCCCAACAGAATGAAGATTCACCAACAGAAACTTGAAACTGCAAATGTGTAGATAATCCACTTGTATTTATACAAGCACACTTTGAATTTTATTTTTTCATTTTCAATGGATAAGAAGGAATTAAAAAACGGGGAAGGTCAAACCCGAGAAAAATAAAAGGAAAGTATACCGAGAGGCGTCAAAGAAGGATTCTCTTTTCGGGTAGTGCCACTAGGGAGGCCTAAATACCATCATATCCAAGCAAATATTCATGGAAATAGCATATTTTTTAGCATAAAAGGCAACGCTATGGGCTGATTTATGTTGTTTGTATAAACAACATCCAAAACATGAAAAACCAGGTTCAATCACGTGACGAGAAAGGAGCGAATCTTCAAAAAATAAAAGTGAAAAAGTATAAGTGGAACGTATTAGGATTTTCCAATGGTCCCGCAAAATAAATAAGGTCAAATTACGATGATCATGCGAAAGAAGAGCAAGGAAAACTAAAGACTGTTGCCAAACGTTCTCACTTGGGTCCCCAACATGAATGCAGGTAATATTGCAATGATGCAATTGGGTCAAACGAGCAAAATGGGTATGCGCCCATTTGGTTGTGGAGATCACAAATATTGGTAGACAGCAACGGAAATGCTTAATTCAACAATAGGTATAGGTTTCCGGCGTGCAAATATCTTATTATTTTTAAATTTTTTGTACTAGTAGATTCAAGCTCGATTGAAAATCTCCACGTGTTTATTTTATCAATATAGAGCTGTGGAGGTCCTGGACTGAAAGAAATATATGTATGACGTCACGACAAAATTAAATGCTCGTTTTTACTAATACTGAAAAAAACAGTGCACTGAAAAAAATTGCTTGAGATATTATTTTGACTTGAAGCGTCATTTCTTGTCGACACTATTTGGCATTTGAGTTAAATCCAAACTTGAAGTCAGCTTTCTTAGTTAAAAAAGTGTTGTTCTGCTTTCGTTACGTTGAAGTTTATTATACGACAGCAAAACAACGTTTCTTTATATAAGAAAAAAAACTGACTTTCAGTTAAATCCGGTTAGATATCACTTAAAAAAGAAAAGGGAAAAAAATGCCACAAGAAACGACGCTTTAAGTTAAAATAATGTCTCAAGAGAATAAGTTTCGGTGTGAGGTGCCTGGTTCTAACATGATACATTCCTATTAAGTGTCTTTTGTTTTCAGGTAGCGTTGTTACTTTTTTTATGGTTTTAGGTGATTTAGGTGTTTTATGGCGATTTTTTAATAAATCGGAACACGTGGTTTCAAATAACAACGAAATTGACCTTTTAGAAGTATTAGTTTGTATTTGCATTTTCACACTTTGTATTGGCTATTTTAAATTACGACTGATACTTAATAATAATCTAAGTTAGTTAACTCAACTGACTCATTAATTTCATAAATTGATAAATAAAATGTTTTGAAACTAACTCAGATGAAATAGGAGAAATTAAAATAATAAAAAAATGAAACAAAAGGTAAGGCAGAAATAATTTGTTTGTGCATTTAATAATTAACTAACTTTTTAACTAATGATCGGAAATAATTACTGCAACACAAATAAAAAAAAAATTAAAATAAATCACAAAAAATCGTAGAAATTGAGCAAATGTGCAGGTGTTAAAAGTCGTAAACTATACTTAGAGTTACATAAATATGAAGTAAAGGAACTTGTGGCAAATGAAAAAAAAGTCTGCTGTCACTCAGCTGTCAGTCAAATTTATCAGTAACGTGTCAGTCAAGATGTCAAAGAAGGGAAAGACGTGTTTTGTCAATAAAATTTGCACTCCCCCTCTTACAGAACGTAATATTTTAGTCAGATTTTCGTTAGAAAAAGCGAAGTCTTCTCTGAAACACCCCCCTCCTGCATAGAATTTTTTTTTTATCTGAAAGTTCACCATCCCAACCCCTTATCGTATAAGATTTGGCAAGGGTGTAGTGTACATGCCGTTTACTCAAGCGCTATAAAGCGAAACGAGAAATTTCAGATAAGTGCCGACTAGATTCGACAATGAGCTTTTCGGTTTTGGATTTGTTCTTGTAGGTTTTATCTCCTAGACTGTCACAAGAGTCCACGAGGATGATCCACCGGGCGTGGCGAAGGACTGAGTGGCCCACGAGTAGCTGGGGCCCCACGACGGAATAATGGGCATTGGCCAGGTCATTGGGTAGTAGGCTGCTTGTCGTTTCTGGATGCTTTTGGGCTCTGCTCCTTCAACTCCAGGAGTGGTCGCCCCATCGGATTCTAGGTCTCTCTTTATTCTACCATGCGATGACTTCTGGAAACAAAATGTAAGAATGTTTGTAAGAAATTTCGTCAACCAACACATCGAATTGATGAGAAATCGCGCTGAGAACGGAGGTCGGGACACCTCCGAAACGCGTCCGCTTCAAAAATTGAAAATTTTATGCGAGTGAGTGATTTTAAAGTTTGTTTTAAAAGTTTTTAACTTTCCGTAAAATTTTTTAAATTTTGCATACAACACATCGAAGTTGAAAATAGAAGTAGGCTAGGTGTAGGTATAGATACAGGTATTAGCTACGCGAGGAGTATGAATAGCTTTGGCCAAAGTACAAACAAGATATATATTGAACTAACATTTTGCATTGAAGAACTATGCTATTTCCCAGCTCATCCATAGCATACCATTGATACCCGATATCCAGGTGTAGCTTTCAGGAATTCTTAAAATAATGAAGCAACTCTCAAAAATTAGAAACTATTGATTAGTCGATTGAAGGTCAAATTTTTTTCTAAAATTTATATAAAACCACCATTTAAAAAAAAAAAAAAAAAAAAAAAAAAAAAAAAAAAAACTGCAAAATGACCATTTTCGAAACCACGTCTTCACTTCATTACAATTCAATAAAATTTCTGTTTTTATTTTATTTTTCAAAGAGAAACAAGGTAACGTTATGGCTTGAAATTGATAACAATTCTGCTAACACAGCAGAAAAATCAAGGAAATGTCGAAGAAACGAGGTAGTTGGTTTCGCATGTTGGCCATCGATATACCTCACTGGAGGGACCAGCTAAAACCAATTATACTGTTAAATATAGTTGTCTATCTCAGTACGAAAATATTTCTATTGTACGTCCATTCACGACTTCTAGACCAAAAATACTTCCTGGTACGTTATCAGGACATTGCAAGATGGATAATTTCATGTTCATGGCAAATATGAATTGTCTTTGAGATTGCTTTGAAAATCGCTCGACTTGAAAAAAAATGGAAATTCCGTTTTATTGTATAAAACTGGTTTATAGGATTTCGCGCATCCTTTTCTATTGTTTTCTCTTTCATTTTACATTGAATTGGTAAGCTAGGAATTTTTCTTTCTTTTTGGATGGGGGAGGGGGGGGCTGCTCAACTCCAAGGTTCCGAAATTCTAAGGTTTTTATTGTTCTATTTTTCAGGGAACAAAAATTCATATTTTGGACTACGAGGGTCTTGGAGGGCTGAATTACATGCGCCAAAAAAACGAAATAAAATAAAATGAATTCATCAAAAATTTTTGACTACGTTCATTTTTTTCCGCATTTTGGATATTTTCTTCAGAGTTGGGCATTTTCCGAAGCAAGCGTTTCAACTGCCGTGATAAAACTAGACGATCTTGCGGGAACTTACTTCGTCTGAGTGATCGATGGACTGGGGGATGATTCTGGGGTCTGGGTTGGCAACCAGTGTAACGGGTTGAATCGGCCAACTAACAAGTGATCTTGGTGCCACTACTGGCGAATAAAACGGCTGGTACAGACTGAACGGCCAAAATAATTGCGGGTTTGCTACAGGGCTCGGTTGAGGCGCCGGCGCACCACGGACGATTGCAATTACAAGAAGCAAAGCCGCCTGAAATCAAAAAGGAAAATTCACTGGTTAAAAAAAAACGGATGGTATGATGAAGCATTTAAAGATCAAATAGACACTTTTTGACGAAACTGGCATAAAAGGACTACTAAATTGTCGTTTTTCAGCCCTCTCTTATAAAATAAGAAAAATTGGCCGAAATAGAATTTTGAAAGTCAATGGGAGAAAACGACCCCCGAAAATGTTGAAAATTACATTAATTATACAGTTAGAAAAAGTGAATTCACTCAAAGGTCCTCATTGAAAATTTTATAATTTGCCTCTTTTTACATCAACTTCAATCTTCAAAGATATACCAAAATCACACCGCGTAAAAGATTCAAATATAATTTGTAATTGTTAAAAAAAAGTTGGGATCCAAAAGGCAGAATTCTCTTTTTCTACCTCAAAAATCCTCGCAATAGTAGTGATAAATCACTACGATTGTAAATTCTAAAGAATTTCTAAAGAATTTAGAAATTTTCAGACCTGATCACACTGGTCCTCAGCTTTACCTAATTTAAGCAGAATCTGAAAAAAATTGAGATGCTAGAAAAGTTGCAGTTTATTGCAATTCTTTGAAGGTCAGAGGGGTTGACTTTGTGCCATTTTTCCCAAATGCTTCAATTGAGCTAGTCGAAATAAAAAACAAACTATGAGCTCATTGCATGAAAAAATATCGTTCTCGAAGCATCCTACTCAAAGGGGTCTGACAGAACTTGCATAACTCCAACGGTGGAGGGTAGGGAGAGAGTTGCGGAAAGATTTTGAAAACTGAAACGCCTCAGGAGCAATCTTCAGCATTCTTTTCTTTTTCTTTTTTTTTTTTTTGAGGAAAAAATTGTTAAAATGGAATCTCGAAGATGACAGGCATGTAACTTGATTATTTTGCGAAATTCCATATATTTTCTGAAAGGGAATAGGTAAACTTATGGTATTAATGACTAATTGTAAGTTGTTGTTTTTTTTCGGTCAGAAAGTTTATGGATAATTGCATCGAGTAGATAGAAATTTTTGATAAATGAAACATTAATCTATAGGTAGTGGCAGTTTAAGGGTGAGTTATGGTTTCAATGAAATTTTTTTCAACACGTGAGTGATTCCTCAGAAAACCCAAAACCTAATGAAAGAGCTTTTCTTCAAATTGAGATGGAGTGTTTAGAGGGTCCGTAACGGGTAAACTTTAGTTCCTCTGACCTGACATTCAGAATGACAGTTGAAATTCAAGACCAAAAACAAAATTATTCAATTTGGGATAAATCGGCCACTTGCCCTCCCGCGATATCCGTATGCTCAGTCTAACATTTTTAATCGGTGACAGAACTCCGAAACAATGGAATAAGTCAAATCTAGACCCTAACTACGAGGTAAAAAACTATCAAAAATGCTAAAAAGATTGAAATCGAGATACAAGCAAAAAAAATAAATAAATAATATTTCAAACTGCATAGAGATGAGAAATACTAAAGAAACTTACAGGAAACAAAATGAAACAAATGTTTCGACCGCCAATGCTGCGGTCTTCTTCAGTGCAACAGGTGGAAACATTTTACAAAAACAAATTTTAAAAAATATATAAAAAACTACAAATATATATTTTTTTAATTTGTTTTTGTAAACTATTTCCACCTGTTGCACGGAAGAAGGCCGCAGTGTTGCCGGTCGAATAACGTTTGTTTCGTTTTGTTTCCAAGATTTTCAGTATTTCTCATCTCCATGTGGTTTGAAATATTATTTGTTTAATTTATTTTAACTTGTAGCTCGATTTCAATCTTTTTACCATGTTCTGTGAAAGCCAGCCAAATTGGAATTAAAATGTAAAAACTATCAACATCTTGGAAAGCTCGTCTTACAACGATATAGACGAGTGCACTTCGACGGCTTGAAGTCTTACAATCTCTTGCCTTCAAAAATTAGATAAACTAATGATAATACTACGACGAGCGACACGCGTGCTAATTTCCGAATAACTCTCGTCATCCACGTTGCATACTTTCACTTCAGGGTCACATCCATAAACTACCGCACGGATGAAAAATTAAATAAACCACTTACGAGGATTCGGACGACTCTCGAAAAAACCTTCATGATGCTCCCTTCGAAGTCGGAACTATGAGACCGTAACAACACAGGACGGAACAACTATCCCGGAGCACAGAGTGCAATAAACAGCATCCCCCTAAGGATGGCTTCTTATATATAAAAAACAGCCGGACTGAACCGTGGAAAAAGAGTCCAAAGAAAAATGTCAAGCATGAAGATGGGCCTCGAGAGGTCACTTTTGCCCCGTGAAGGGATGCCTGTAGAATGCCGCTGTGGAACGGATGGTTCTACCCCAGCGCCACATTTCGCATCGATCATACGAGTAAGATACCCATCAGTTTCTAGATACAGGAACGTAACACCATCCCAACGTTGCAAAATTCATTCTAACAGTGCAATTTTTTGCACAAAAATAATCATGCAATATCTGTCCAAAATTTCACTGATTTTTGCCCAAAATCAGAGGAAAAAACAGTGAAATTTTTTGTTTCATATCTCCAAAAGTTTCCTGGTAAAAGGCAATTTGCGAGTAGAGGCTCAGAAACGTTGGGATCTAGTTACGCTCTTTCATCTGAAAAACGGCGATATATTCTCTCCGACAGAAATGCAACATTGCTCGCCGAGGTAAAAACATGTGGAGCACGTATGAAAACAATGATTGTATAAGGACAGGCCTGGAAAAGGAAAAGAGAGAAATGAAAACCGGTGGACAGGAGCTTTCTCAGGTTTCGCCGGTGCGTTACTGCTTTATGCGCGTCGGGAAGACTTGCCCTCTCGAGAAGAGTTATTGCACCGAGGATCCTGCCGCGTTACGCAAAAACCCCTTAAGCGCCTTTGAATATTGCAAAATGTTCGTCAGTAAAGACACGAATTTTTCCGGGAACGCATCGATATTTTCCCCCCAATTTTCAGAGAATATTTTTAGCAATCTAATCTAAGGTATACAAAAATTTCGCGGAGAAAAATTCGTGGCTTTCCATGAAAAAAGATATCTTATTGGGGTAAATTTGGCATCATTCAATTGTTCATACGGCGTCATTTCATAGGACGACAGGCTTGAGACCGAGTTCTACAGACCCAATCCGAAACCTGACCTTGAATATGAAATACGCAACACGATTATTATCTACGGCCAGTTCTCGTATGCAACTAGCGTTTGCGATTCAGTATGTTATTTAATGCAAAATTTTACGCAAAAACGAATCGCACTGGTTTAAGTCACGTTACGAAAGCTGAATATTCTAAGAATGCTCTGTGCGCCAAAGGCAGACAGTGATCGGAGGGGTGGGTTGTTTATTATCTTTTTTTCTACTTTCCCCTCCTCTTTCTACAGACAAGTAGGTGAATGTTGAAATGCTCTTTGCCGCCCTGATAAAGGATCTATTTTTGGATTTGAATAATTTTTCATTTATTTTTCCTTATTTACTTATTAAAAGCTTATGACCTCACAAAAGGATATTATCGCGTGAGTGCGTTAAGAAGTGAGGATCCTCATAGGAGTTAATTTTAGACAGGTCAGTGGCATTTTAATGTCTCTCACAAAATTTTACACGGGATTAATGCTGATTAAACTGCGAGACATCCGCTTTTCCAGGAACCTCATTGTTCGAGCAGGCTTAGAAAGCGCGATAATTAAGTATGGCGACCAGTCTGAATCCTCCAGAATCAGGTATAAGTGCAAAAAATAAGGAAAAAAGATACTATTACGTGAAAAAAGAAAGGGCATATCGATCAACACGTGCTTGTCAGGGATAACGAATCCAGACCAGTGGCGCGATGAATGGTCGATTATCGAAATTTCCCCATTTATAGCTATGATAAAGAATCGATTATTAAGGGGCTCGCTGCGGACATCCTGTTCATCGATCCTATTCCATAGGTTTAAATGGCAGATCAATCGATAGATCGCAAATCACGCCACGCCACTGATCGAGACGGAGATTAATTTTATGCATCCAGAGAAATAAGGCACCGCCCGAAAAAATTCCTTTTAAGGGCGTCTAGAAGGCGAAGCCTGGATCCTTTGATTGAGGTTTTCAAGATTAAAGATTTAGTCAAAAGAGTAAAATGAAATTAGACAATTAAAACGTTTTTATTATTGAATAGTGATGGAGTCACGCAAAAATACGACAGCTTGAAGAGATCTATCCTGCATATTCCAGTGCTAAAACACCCATCAATTCTAAAAGCTTATCCTTTGAGAGCCTCTGAGAATGAGAAAAGAAGGAATCGCTAATTTGAAAACAACCTTTCGTCTAAATTTCCAATTATTGTCAATTAGTATGCACTGCTTATGGGAGGAAAAAAATGGTGACATGAACTAGATCACGGTTTTTTATATCGGCTGCATTGTCCGGTTCGTGTGCTTAGCTGTACTTCGGTTCGTATAGCCGAACTCTCATACCCAACCGAACTATAAAAGTATTTCGGTAGAACGGACCGAACCGAACCAGGGAAAAAACGTGGATATGTCGCGGGCAAATAGTGAAATCAGACATTTTGTCAAATGCCTAGGCAGGTAGTTAAATTTTGACGGTCTACAATATTTTGTAAATTTATGGTAGAGAGCTCACGAGTTTTCAATGTTTTTGGAAAAACAACTCACCAAACCTACGAACTCTTTTTGTCTCCTACTCTTCAACTGCTTCTCATATTTTTAAATGCTGAAATTCTAAAAATTCTGTATACTTTACAATATGTTGAAAATCTCAAGAAACGTGCCTGTTCAGGAGCTGAAAATCGTTTAAAATACTATTGTGTGATACAAATCCTGGTAAAAATTGGCGATAGGAGCTGCGTTTCAAAATACCATAGGAGTTCTTATAGCCGACTAAAGAGGGCAATAGAAAATCATATAGCTGGCTGTAGAAAATGGAAAAAATCATACGGCCGGGCTACACGAAGCGATGAAAAATTATACAGCCGGGCTATAGTTCTTATCGCCGGGCTTTACACTTTATCACCTGGCTGTTGCTTTTTCGCCATCGGCTATAAAAGGTTAGAAGAAATTGAGTAGAAATTCTTGTGCTTTGTAAATCCTTAAGTTTGTACGGAATCACCTTAATATTTACAAAACGCACATTATATTTTCCTTTACTTTATATTTTTTTTCATCAATTAAAATGAGAATAATTCATACAGAGTGTGCAAACATTTCGAAGTCATGAGTTGAAAAACGCTGACTCCGCGAGATTAAATATTAGAGCCTAACACAAAGCGGAGTGGCGGCGCACCGGCGCCTACAAACCTAACAGGGATACTTCACGCATTGCGCAATGCGTGAAGTATCCTTGTTAGGTTTGCAGGCGCCAATGCGCGTTCAGCGCTGGCTGCCCGCCCGCCGCGCCGCGCCGAGGGGTACCGCGGCGCTTGAAGCAACTATTTCACACCAGAGGTATTGCACAGTATCATACGAAATTGAAGGCGCGCCAACATATTAGGAATGTCAGGCATCCTTCAAAAGAACGGAGCTTTCCTCGCAAATTAACTCAAGATACTGCGGACCAAAAAGAGAGCGGTAGTCCAAAAACTCACTAAGTCCTAGCATCCGTAATTAGTAACGTTTAGCATACACTTTATTGCCAGGCTGTTGCTTAATCGCCATCGGCTATAAAAGGCTATAAGAAATTGGGTTGCCGGCTATAGAAGTTATTGGAAATCTTGCAGCCGGCTGTAGGTCTATGGTATTTTGGGACACAGATTCTACTGCCATAATTTTTACCAGGGAATTTTTACTGAGAATTTTTTCTCACAGGAGCAATCAATTATTTTGTCTAAAATTAGGAAAAGAATCAGAATTTTGATCTAAGTTAGAATATTTATCTATTTGCCTAGGCATTTGACAAAATGCCTGATTTTACCATTCGCCTGCAACAGATACATGAGCTTCGCATAGGATTACCAGAACCGAACGCACGGTTATACGGCCAACACAGGCTGTCTTATGAAACTCCGTACTTTGGTTCATCTAACCAAATTATCTTCGTCAGTGAGACTAAAAATGTTATTAAAAAAAAATCAAAATCTTGAAACGTACATATTTTTGGTTCAAGGCTCGACGACTTTGTTCCCAACTAATTATGACTGGACAGCCGACCGAAACATTTCGGTTCCTTCTTTGAAAATTTTAGCCCTGTTTCTCACTGTTTGGTGGGAGTGCAGTTTTCCTCTCCCACTCCTCTCACTAACTCCTTTAATATGTTACCCCGTTTCATCATCAAAGACTGCTTTGCAACATATTAACTAGCAAGCAATGTTTTGACTGCAGTTAGCAGACTTTCAATTTCCCTTCGACATCAAAATCCTTTTTTCAACATCATCCTTACAACGATCCTCCCTTTTAACCGATAATTAGTTCTGTTGTTGCTCTTCCCTCTCAACTCTTCTGGTCACTGATTTGGAACACTGCCATATATTTGAAAGTGACCAACCGGTTCGATTTTAGTTTTTCGCTTTTATTACGAGAGTGCTCGTCCTGCAACAATTCTAACAGGCTAGAGAGAGCGCGGTGGGAGCTTGGTTATTGCCAAATGTCTCTCTTTAAAAATGCTCTTATTACAAACAGTTAGGAATATTTTCCTTGAATTTTCAGATACACGCTAGTATTAATTACGAGTAAAAGTCACCACAATATGTAACAATAATCAATCCACATGATTTTTTTAAAAAAATATGTATTATCATGGGAAATTTGGCACTGTCTTTACGTCCACACAGTGTTTTTTTCTGATTCTGTTCTGTTCTTTAAACTCCTCATTTTATAACGTCCAGTCTCTACGTCTTCCTCCTTTCCCCGTTTCCCTTTTCGTCTTGATCCCGACACTTCATCTTCCAATATTCTTTTGGCACTCATTTGCAATTATTATTTATAGCCTCTTTCTTATTCGGAAAAAAGGACTGAAATGAAAAAAAAGTAGAAAACTAATCAAAACAAAGATGATGTCCTTGAACTTGCCGCAAAAGAGGATAAAAAAGGATCTTGTTTCCGTTCAAACCCGCTTTTTCATCCTCGAGTTTTTTCGATATTCGTTTCTGGAAGGAATCGATCGATTATTTTGACTACCGATAGATTTCTTCTTTGACGTTCTAATTCCACTCTTTTGCTACACATCAATCGTCTTCAGATTTTGAAGAAAGTAACTCTCTTTAAGGTATGCTCT